CTAGGCGTAGTTCCGGTTGGTGTTCCGGCGAGGGTGAGGGATCTTTGGTGAGCAGGGGTGTAGGTTGGTGTGGGGGGCGTGGTGGGGGGGGTCGGGGGCCGGGGGCGCGGATTCGTCTTGGTTGTTGGTGTTGTTGTCGTCGGGGTCGGGGTTGGTTAGTTTGTTGAGGAGGGCGGTGGCTTCGTCTCCTTGGGGGTTGATTTTGGATTTGGTGTCTTTAGGAGGGCCCCAGGGCTGTTTTGGGTGGGAGTGTATGGGGAAGGTGGTGGCTTTTTCGAGGCCTTCTTTGGCTGACCGTGCGGCACGGTCGAGGCGGGCCGTGAGGGTATCGAGAATTCCTGGGACGCCTAGGGACTGGGGGGGGCCGCTTTCGATGGTCGATCGTTTTGGTGCTGGCGTCTTCGAGGAGGAGCATGTCGGATTTGACGCCCTGGATTACTACCTCGGTGAGGACAGAAAACAGACTCTCGACGAACACGGGGTAGCCGTGATAGTTGTCGAGGGCTGCAAAGATTGCTGCGACGACGTCGTCCAGGAAAGGAATTAGCCTCGGGCCAGTCAGCCGGACCACCATGGTGAGGACTTTTGTTGACGCAGGAGAGATATCAAACGTGTTCAGTCGTAGGGATATGGAGTTCACCATGTAGTCCGCGTTATCGACGATCAAATCAGAGACGCTCTCGTAGCCGCACGAGGTGGCAATGATGTTCAACGTGGTGATGGCGTGCCTCCGGAGCTGTGGCGCTTGCGAGCCAAGGAATGTTGTGACGGGGTAGAGCACGTCGATGAGTTCTGGCTGGAAGTCGGCCTTAAAACGGGAGGCAGCAAATGCCGCTACCTCTAGTGCAATGGCCTCAAGCCGCCAGTCTGCCTCGACGGAATCCGAGTGTGCAGATAACACCGAGGCGGAGAAGTCGTAGAGCTCCTGGAAGGCCTCTTCCTGATGCCGTGATTCCCCGAGAGAGGACAGATCAAACAAATCGTCAAGATCCGAGGACTGTGCGTAGGTTGCCTTCAATAGCTCAAACGAGAGCCAAAACGAGGCGATCTGCTCGATACCCTGAGAGTCCCGAACATGGCCTAGCATGGCCGTCGCAATCTTCACCTGCTGAACTGGGGAGCCTACATTGGATATCAAAGAGCCGATTTCTGCTCTTGTCGTCTTCTGGCCTTCAGAGTCAAGTAGGACGGGACTGTATGTTGCCAGCTCTGTGCCAGGTCCCACTAGAGCGGTATTTGTCGATATGTCCGCCCCAACATCATCTACGATTTTAGGTTGCTTCGAACCTTTGACAAGGGTGATAATGCTATCTCGAAGGGAGTCCCCCAGTGCGTCGTCCAGAGTCGACGAGTCCATTTGAAGCGTGGCTGCCAGCCTGGTACCCCTGAGGATGCTCCTTATCCCTAACTGTTTGACCCGCTCATCGCTTGACTGCATGACGCGGGGCAGGCCGGTAATCCAGTTGTAGAGTGTTAATTTGACGCTGTCCCCGAGCTCCGCGTAAACGCTGGCAAGGTCTTGAAGGCTAGTTTCAAGGCTTGATTGTGTATCTTGATCTTCCAGCATCATGGCGGTTTCCACGAACATCGACCGGCAGTCGGCGAGTGAAGCGTGGCATTCATCGAGAAGGCTGATGCAGAGCCTATGAAGAGCAGATTGGACCTCGTCAGACTCGTTTGAACGAAGCTTAAGGACCCCCGCCAAGGCGATCTTGACCTGGTATGCAGTCGCTCTCAGCCAAGAAGCTGTCAGTTCCCCCGAGGGATTCAAATCTTGCGGTTCCTCCGTCGTACCACCTTCTGGCGTTCTTGGCTTCTCCAGCTCCCTGAGGAGCGATCTGACCTTGATATCGCCTAACACGGTGACGAGAACTAGTTGGAGGATCTCCAAACATTTGAGTAGTACCCGCTTTTGGGTTTGATTGGCCTGTGGTGGCGACAAGACTTTCGTAAGGGCCGAGATTGTGCCGGGAATGAACTGCGCAAGGACAATATTGTCCTTGATAGTGGCAAACACGGCTTGTAAACATTGGGCCGCCTCGAGCTGGATCAGAGACACGGATCCCTCAGAAACCCCATCTAGCATCACCGTGAGGCTGTGACTGAGGGCCGGTACAGTTTTGCCTTTCGCTGCTGACTCGGCTGGCGGCGCAATATGAGACGGTTTTGCAATGCGGACGAGAGCAGTGAGCGTGCGGAAACCCTCGACAATGGTCTCCTCGGGCATGTCTCGCTTCGGCTGGTCTGGGACACCACCGACGATAAATGAGAGGAAGACCAAGAGTTGTTGGAAAAGCTGCGGCGATGCCTTTGCTTTCCAGCCATATTGGATGAGCAGCCGAAGCAGCCGGACGACAGCCTCGATGACCCGGAGGGGATACCGGTCACGGTCTCGGAGGAGGTGAGATAGGGGGAAGAAGACATATTCGGCGAGTTTGTCGTCCAGGATGGAAGCATCATTGTCTGCTTGAGTGGTCCAGAGGCCGATGAGCGATTCTAGTAGCCTGAGGACCTCCTTGGAGTCGACAGCTTGGCCTTTTGGGCCGAGTGCAAATCGACTAAGAGGGATACAGACACTTTTAAGCTACAGTAAGATGTTTAGCAACCAAAATAAGCGATCAAACGATGGGTTGAGTGGTGGATAGGTGATGGGTAGCGGCATACTTGCTGGAAGAACTCGGTTCGGCGATTTGGGGGGGAATCTGTCGCCATGGTTTTGGCGAGTGCGCACCTTTCTTGCCCTTAATAGGCGAGAGTGCGATTAAGTAGAAAACATGCAACTTCTAGATGACAACGGTGAACTTAGTTTCAACAGATGCCTTCGTGGTTTTGGTTTCGTTTTTCAGGTAACAAATGTTGTCGTAGGTACTGTAAGTTTCAGATGCACAATGGACTTTTGGGGCTATAGCGTCTAGGGTATTTATTGTATGTATGTGCCCATCACAGGCACGAAATGAAACTTGCCCCAAAGACTAATGAAGGTATTTGCTCGATTTAATTTTTCTCTTGATTTACTCTTTTCGGACTTGTGTTCGTTTGATCTTTAACCTTTTTTGTCCGGTGTACACCTGGGAACCTGGGCACCTTTACGGCCATGCTTAGCCTCTTAATAAAGGCACTCAGCCCAGGCCCAACCCAGTCCCACTTTAATCATCAAATCAACCCCCACGAACAACGTCTTCATCACTCCCAGTTCTCTCTCCATTCCTCAACAACCAAAATGTCGACCACACCCTCTCCTGAACCCGCCGCGGCCGAGGCCACAGCTCCAGCCCCCGCCCCCGCGGCCACAACCTCTCAAGACCGTCTCGCCCGCTTCCGTGCCCTCCAAGCACGCGCCAAGGCGTCGTCCGACCAAAACCTCAAAGAGGCGACTAAGGAATCCCAACGACTAGCCACCGACCCAACACAGCTTACTGCCCTCAACCGAAAGCACGCCATAGCTTCGCACAAACTCCTCAAGGCCGACGTGGAGGAATCTGGGGGGGACTTTGAGCGCAAACGGGCGTGGGATTGGACGGTGGAGGAGAGTGAGCGATGGGACAAGCGGGTGCGCAAGCAGAACGCGCACCGGGACGACACAGCGTTCAAGGACTACGCGCGCGAGAGCGAGAAGGCCTACAAGCGGCAACTGCGCAACATGGGCAACCCAGACCTAGAGCGGTACACGCGTGAGAAGATGGCCGCCATCGAGAAGGCTGCCGCCGCTGGGACTCTGGACATTGTCGAAACAGATGACGGGGAAATGATCGCCGTCGACAAGGATGGGACTTTCTTCAGCACCGCCGATTCGACCGCGTTTGCTCAACACAAGCCGGAGAAGGCAGCCGTGGATCGTCTGGTGGCCGATTTGCGCAAGGCCGAGGAGGCGTCGCTCAAGAAGAGGAAAGAGCGGATGGCCAAGAATGGCGAGGATGGAGGGGACGTCACATACATCAACGAGAAGAACAAGCAGTTCAACCAGAAGCTGGCGCGGTTCTATAACAAGTATACCGCCGAAATTAGGGAGAGCTTCGAACGGGGAACCATGGTGTAAAGGGAGATGGTACGGGTTGTTTATTCAGGGTCATAGCAGCGAACGGCGTTTGGGTTGGGTTTGAATGTTGTACAGTCTACTCCCACACAGAAGTGGCACGGTGGTAATACATTGATGAACGCACCCCTCCCCCTCTTTTAAAGCATCGTCTTCCTCCACGCCTTCTCCGCCAACTGCTCCAGCTGCGGCACCTCCACCGGCCCTTTCACGCTCTCATCCGCCAACGCCTCCACCACAGCATCCGCCACAGCGTCCACCTTCAGCGGCTTCATCACCATACTCCCAAGGAACCCGCCCGCAGCCCCCCGAGTCAGGTCATTAAACACGGACCCCGCCGTCGCCATCGCCGCCACCCCCATCGTAACCCCCCTCGACTTGTCGTACATAAACGGCGGCCTAAAAAACACCCCCCTCATCCCAGGGAACTCCCTCTCCACCACCGCCTCGGCCTCCCTCTTCGTACTCAAATACCGCGCCGGCAGCACCGGCGCCCCCGCAGCCGCCGACACAAACCCAAACGCCCCGACCCCCGCCTTAGCCGCCTCCTTCGCCAACAAAATCGTACTATCCCGATTCATCATCTCATACGTCAACTGCGGCGCCCCCTTTCCCCCCTCCCCCCTCCCCCCCTTTTCCCCTTCCTCAAACCTCCTCACCCTCTCCAACGGATTCGCCGGCTCGTTCGCCGCCCCCGGCGCGGGACCGAACGCCCGCCTCAGACCCGAGAAGGGCGACTCCTGGCCTGAGATGACGCCCTTGTAGTCGGCCTCGAGAAGGATGCCCAGGCTATGCACGACATAGTCGGCGCCGTGGAGTAGAGAGGTCCATTGCGCGGGCCGGAAGATGTCGCCGCGTTCCCAGGTCACCGAGTGCGACCAGTTGGGGGGGGCGGAGGAGGAGGTGATGGAGAGCCAGTTGGGGCGGCCGGAGCGGCTGTATGTGTGTGGGGGGTGTGGTTAGGGGGGTTTGTCAAGGTGAGAGAGGAGAGAGGGGGGGTTGGATGTAGGTACCTACCTGACTGATGTGACGTCCCAGTTGCGGGCGACGGCTGCCCGGCAGATTCGTGAGCCGAGAAAACCGTTGCCGCCGAAGACGACGATTCTTTTCGTGGCTGACATTGTGGGGTGTTTCATGATGCGTGTGTGCTCATGAGCTCAGTGACGCATGTGAGTTTGGGGCTTGCGTGAAGGTGGTGTTCAGGTCGTTGGTTTTGGGAGGAAAACTTCAAAATAATCCCAATTAAAGTCCCCAGAGGCCACAGTATCCTCCAGTTCACAAACTGTGTGAAACTCGAGGGCAGGCAAGGTTGTTGTTGAAGCTGGCCTTCCCTCTGAAGCTCCAGGAAGAATCTCGGGAAGCTTCGGTCATGTCATGCCATGCTTGAGCTACAAGGGTTCCAGATGCATGGGTGACACAGACCCTGTTAGCGGGCCCAGAAGCGAAAAGTTGCCCCGCAATCAAGGCTGACCCGCCAGACTTTCCGTCGTGTCTTCTCGATTTCACGCGACCGCGGGACCGAACAGCAGTAACCCCTCACAAACGGCACCATGGCGCCGACAACGGGAAAACGGGTCAAGGGGGTGCAGATATACCGCCCTTTTGTCTACGGCACGACGGCCAAGCCATTCGACGAAAAGACCAACCCCAAACCGCCCGGCGTCCCCGATGACCACACCCACTCCTGGACCGTCTTCGTCAAAGGCATCGACGATGTCGACATCACCTACTGGTTGCGCCGCGTACAATTCAAGCTCCACGAATCCATCCCCAACCACGTGCGAAGTCAGTCCCCCCTTCCCATGCCCTCCCCCCTCCACAACCACAACCACGCTAACTCCCCGCCCCCCAACAAACAGTGATCGAAGGCGAAAAATCCCAACCCTTCACGCTCAGCGAAACCGGCTGGGGCGAGTTCGAGATCGCCATCAAGCTCTACTACGTGGCCGAGTCGGCCGAAAAGCCCCAAACCCTCTACCACCACCTCCGACTACACCCCTACGGACGGACCGAAGAAGAGAAAGAAACCATGCGGCTCAACGGCGGGCAGGTGATTTCGTGGGCGTACGAGGAGCAGCTGTTCAACGAGCCGTACGAGCCCTTCTACGAGATCCTCACGTCCGGGGCCATGCCCGCTTCGCATGCGGGCGGGGGTGGGGGTGGGGGTGGGGGGAATAAAGGGGGGTCGAAGGGCGGCGGTGGTGGGAAGAGCAAGGAGAAGGAGCAGGCGGTCAAGATGGTGCGGTCGGAGGGCGGGGTGTTGGAGAGGAGCGCGATGATTCCGCTGGCGAATCGCCCCGGTCAGCCGTTCAGTAGGGAGACGGAACAGGTGGAGATCAAGAAGTTGCAGGAGGCGTTGGTGAAGGTGGAGGAGCTGATGACCAAGACGAAGGAGGAGGTTGCGGGGAAGGAGAAGCGGTTGAAGGAGCTCAAGGCGGAGAGTGGAAAGTAACCTGGGGGCTTGGGTCTATCTATTTGGGCCTTGTGGGAGAACTGTGATTTATAGCGGTGGTGGGAGTGGGGATCAAAACATCGGGCGGCGCGCATATTTCGTTGATTTTATCAAGTTGACCGGTAGGAAGGCGTGAGGCGTTTCAATTTTTGGGTTAGATCTAGAGATTGCCTGGATCCGAGAGTGTGGTTTGGGAAAATGCAACTGATGACCAGCACGAATATTAACGACGACAAGAGTTAGATAGAATATTCACTCTGATTGATTCTTATCTTAGAGTTGGGAGTTTCTAAGAAGTCTCCCGTCCATAGACCTGCTATCCCAGCAGGGACTTCTTCACCGAGCCGGATCGACATCCGCCTGATAAGCCCGGTGTGTTTCGCACACGTATTCGACAGTGGTATACAGCCTGGTCGTAACGACCGTCTAACCACGACCCAAAGACAAAAGAAAAAGCGCAGCCAGTAAAGAGTTTGATGATCAACCAAGGATAGCCTTCTGGCACCCCTACGCGTTTCCACACTCCCATACCGGTGGAAACCGAATCCTTTTCCCCAACCAGGATATCTCCAGTGCCCCAAACCAATCTCAAGGCAACCCTCCCAATTTTTTTTTGTTGACCAACATACCCCAAACTCCTGGCAACCAATAAGACATTAACTAACGTGGTATGTCGGTCGCACGAAACGCCAGGTATGATCCCCTCGCCCAAACACAAAGTGGGAAAAGAACAAAGGAAAAGAAGGGTAACACATTAGTCACAGTGATAGTAATTACCTCGCCTCATATGCGGGCGGCGGGGTGTCGTCCTGGTCGTCCCAAAAAGTGGGATTCCCATTCTTTTCGTCATAGACGCGGCGGGCAATCTCGCCCGCCATTTTCATGATCCAGGCCTGCTCCAAGATGACGGACGACGTGTCCGACCTGGGGCGCGGCCGCCCCGTTTTGCTGTCGACAAAAGCAGGGTCCTGAGAAGGAAATCTAGCAGCCTGTTTCTCCGAGGACTGCAGGGGAGGCACTGCGGTTTTGCCGAGTTCGACCGAGGGAACAGGGACCTCGGGGGCGTTGGTAGCCTGAGCCCTAAAGGACGGTCTCCGGGGCTGTTGCTGGAGGTCTGGAGATCTGCCGAAGTGCACCTTGTTTGATGCCAGCTCCTCGTCTGACTCCTCGAGAATCGGATGGGGCATGATAGGTTCTGACATAGGAGGCTCAATAGAGTCGGTCTCGGGCGTGTCCTCTTCCTCCTCGCTATTGGCCTCAGTCTCAGCCTTGCGGCGTAGATTGACTACTCGCGTCTTCTTCTTCCGGCCAGCCTTGCTGTGTCGGCCGGAGCCTAGCGATAAGCCTGCGGTTGCTGAGTTGAGATGTACTAGTGAAGGCCGTGACGGGAGCGAGCCTTGATCTTGGCTACCGTTGTCCGAGAAGGTGTAGGTATGGGGGCTGGTGTAGGAGTAAGACCTGGCCAAGCTCGGCGTTGCTAGCGGCGTGGTGTTCGTCAGATCAACCTTGTCTGGCCCGGCCCAAGCCCGGAAGAGAACGTCTTTCGTTTCCGAGGTGTCCAATGAGGACGTCACCTGGGAATTTGTGATATCGGACAATCGTAGCAGGGTCTTTTGCGAGAAAAGAAGTTGCGCCTCCGGACCCCCATCAAGGGATAATTCCGATATCGCAGCAGGATCGAGGAGGTGCCCATGCAAGTCCACGGCGTCCAAAGGTGGCGTGGCCAATGGGTTCACGCCGTGCTCGTCGGCCTCCTTCGGTTCCTCGTCCTCCTTCGCGATCTGGTCCGGACACCAAAGCTGTAATGATAGCCGGTGGATGATGGCAGGCAGCTCATCCATGAACAAGTCCCGCAGCTTGCCCTCGATCGTCCTCTGGAGGTAGTCGCGGACGAACTGGATCGAGTCGAAGGTTGACGAGACCTTGAGAGACTCGAGGGGGTCATTGCGAAAGACTATCGTTAACCCTTTTTGTTTGGAGAAGACGAGGATGATGAACGCTGAGAGCTTGAACTCGGATAACGTGATCTGCAGGGGTATCGTGAGACTCGATGCCGCCGCTAGCGGTTGTGGGGATGTGAAGTCTGGCTTGGCGGAAAGACATGTGTTTAGCGGATTTGCCTATGATTGTTGATATATTAGCTATGTTATCCTCGAATCCAAGGTCTCGCGTTGTCTTGATCTGGGGCGCGACCGCGAACCCCTGTCCGGGAATACGCGATAAATTGAGCTTTAATGCGCCAAGCATTTTGATAGGAGTTTTCCATGCCTGTTTGCCTCCCCAGAATCTGCAAGGGGCAAGGGGACGCGGGCTGAAATCCGGGTCTTTTCAGCCTGCAGGGCTTGAACGAAGAGCTTGGAGAGAAGGGTCATGGCGAGCGCCTTGCCCACCCACTGCGCCCTAGCGCAGTGACCCAGCAAGCTTTCTTCTGGAAGCTCTCCTGACCTCCCAAATGGACCCGCCAGAGCCTTCTAGCTTGAGGGGGCTGCGAAAGAGCATGCACGGACATGGTGCAGCTCTCAAGGATAAAGGGGCCCCAAGCGCAATGCCCCTCGTGGACGTCCAAAGGGAATATGAATATCGGCCTACCTGAACTCTTGTCTTGAGTGTCAAGAACGCATCCCCCGAATAGCACATCTTGAATATGCCGCGGAAACGGTCCTCGGCCAGGTCGCCGATCTCGAGAATTTCCAGATCCGGCGGCACGGAGCCGAGGTTGAACTCAGTCACGATAATGTCATCGACGATGATGGGGGGCTTCGGAGACTTGTTGAGTGCCGTCGTCAGGAGATCCCGGGCGCGCTTATAGAAGCCCGCGTCGGCCGTCAGAGGCGACCAGTTGAAGTTGAAGGCCATGTTGAACTGGCTTTCGTGCTAACGATGCATCGCAGCCAAAAGTATTGGACCCGACGAGGCCGGCTTTGCGGACGAGGGCGGTATTTTCGGGTACAATCGGGTCGATGCAATTTGTGGGGGTGCAATCGTAAATGTCGCGAATAATTCAAAGCTGTCTCGGTGGGTGGTTGTCGGGCAATGCAAGTGTGGTATGACGATGCAGCTGGCACAGGAGATGCAGCCAGGTGCAAAATGAATGTTGTGTGTTTCGTTTCGAGGGAATTCGAGATCGGAGGAAGGGAGGGATGGATTGACGCTACCAGGTATCTGATGGTGCCGGGGAGCAGTTGGTCTTTGAGTGAAATTTTTGGCTCTTGCGGCGCATCCGAGTGGCGTGTGGGCCTTCTGACGCACGAGCTTCTCCCGGCAGTGGGTTGACCCTGGTTTGTCTCTGGTTCGCGCGTGCCTTCCCCCGGGTCAAGGGGTCTACCAACGTTACCGTACCTGTTTTCTTAAATTACAGGTCATCATGCAAACAGACTCGGGCTGCTATGCATTCGGAACGCCCTCGGCCTTTGTGACAGCTGGTCGTGTTTTAGAACCAGCCTCCCTTGCTGAAACGACCAGGGCTTTCCGACTCTGTGCATGCCGAGTACAAACTGCGGACATACGAACAAGGGCAAACAGCCCTGGGATGGAAAAAATGATCCACCGTGCCACCTCAGACTTTGCGCCCAGATTCCCGGCTATCTCGTCACACCGTGGGTCCGACAAGCCCGCTTTCCCGTCCCGAGGTCCACACCACAGCTCCCCCTCAGGTACCCCTGCACGCGACCATCCCGCCTGGCTACACCACCCTCCTCAAACAGACCCCCACATGATTGGTATTTGACGCCCAGCTGAGCGCGGTCCTGCATGTCCTTCCGCCATCATATCTGCACGCGACTGAGCCACTACGACGGCGGTGAGTGAAGGGCTTTTGGCCGGCCGGCGGTGTCGAAACTGCCAATTCCACCAGCAAAAAATATTTCAATAGTTATTAACTCACCTCCTGTGTAATGTCCACTCTTAAGCCCAAGCGTGGCTGAGTTTGTGCAGAGCCGACAACCTCTGCTGCATACAGTTAGTGATCGAATGCGGATCCAGCCACCAGCCAAGGTATTCGTAGCTTGGGCAGAAACACTTCGGGTGTTAGTGCAGAACTTCAGACGAATCAACCGTGCCTGCAAGATCCCATGCTTGAACCCTGCTAAACATGGGAACAAGGACGCTCTCAGGCGATACTTCGTCCCGGAACTAATTCAGTTACTTAGTTGCTTTTTATTTTTCTTGATTTAGTCTTCTTCGTTGTTCAATTTAGTTTTGTTTATCCGATTCAGTGTTTCTTTCTTTTTCCTCGATCTTATGGCGAGGCGAGGTGTTCCTGCGACCTCGGCTGGCCGAAAACCCTGCAATCGATTAAAATGGCCCAACCAATCCGGGTGTTACTGTCGTCACTTTCATCTTCGGAAAGTGCCTCGTTTCTCACAATTAACCAATAATGACATCCGCAAACACATCATGCATGCCGGTGCTGTCATTTTTGGCAGCCGGCAACTATGAGATCAACTTCATCGCCGAAGGAGCAGCAAACGTTGTCTTTCAGGTTGTTGTGCAGCCCGGAGACGAACACAGCAGCATTTTCCAAGGTGAGACAGTTAGTTGTCCTTCTCAACTTCAAACAAGCCTTCTCATATCTTTTTGATCCTAGGATATCTCCTACGGGTCCCAAAAGCAGGGACAAATGCGCACAGCTATGTAGAGCTCCAAGAGTACTGGGAAACGGTGGTGAGGCCGCTGTTTGAGCCCGAAGACCTCGTCCAACAGCGCCTCGTCAAACTCGGGGGCGAAGAGGTGGTTTCATGCCTGAATGCTGCCCTGGAACTAAAAGAGGAAGCCCGAAGGGCCGACTTCAAAGGAAGTAGAGTTGCAGTGGTCGAGCACGGGATGCTCGTGGAAGACATGCGTCAGAGTATGCACGATTTGCCCTTCACCGCCTCCTGCTACCCTACCTGCATATCCACAACTGCCAGCCCACCACAACTCACACGCAACCCACAATCTAGGCCACACCAGCGACCTCGCTTTCGAATTCAAGCCCAAGTGGCTCGCCCAATCACACCATGCCCCCGCATCCGCAACACGCTGCCGCACCTGCGCGCGCGAAGCCCTCCGGCTGCACACCAAACCAGAAACGGCAAGGAAACAAAAACAGAAACAGAGCCCAAAAGAAACCAGCCTCTCCATCCTCTGCCCCCTGAACCTCCTCGCTTGCACCACCTCCCCCACCGCCCTCACCCACGTCACCCGCCCACTTCTCCACCCTCACCCCGCCCCCTCCTCTTTTCTGCCCCTCTTTCTGCCCCTCCGTCGGCCCCTCCACATGGCCCTGCACGTGCCCCTCCACGACCACCACCACGACCACCACCACCAGCATAACCTCCACAACCACCGCAACCCCTCCCTCGCATCCCGTGTCGCCCGCGCAGACCGCGCAGACCGCGCAGACCGCGCAACGCGCGCGCCTGGCGACCTGGCTGCAGACCAATACGCTCCTCCTCCGCCTGCGTGCCGCCCAACTAGCCGCGGCTCGCGACGGTGAGGAAGAAGAAGGAGGAGGAGAAGACGAGGGTGCTGGCGACCCGGAGCGGCTGGCGCTGGCCATGACGCTGCGCGACTGTGCGTGCTTCGTGCGGGTGCCGGCGGAGGCGGGGCGGCCGGTGGAGGCTAAGCTGGCGGATCTGGACCGGAAGAATTGGGAGGCGAAGAGGGGGTATTGGCGGGAGATGGAGAGGCGGCTGGTGGAGGGCGGGTATTATGAGGGGAGGGAACTGGGAGGGGTGGAGACGGATTGTTTGCTTGAGGAGGGGACGAAGAAGGTCTGAATTTTGAGGTGAGATGTTAATGTGAGTGAGGTAAGGCGTTGGGGAAGGGAGAGTAAACAAATGGGTCTAAGAGGTAATCGGTGTCAAATGTGAATATATATATCGTCAAGTCTGTCTATGCAGATCTACCACGCTAAAGAAACCTAGCCATATGCACACAAGATCCCCACGTTCCATATCCCATGTCCAAACGCCGGAGCCAAAAGAAAAGAAAATAACCCACATAACTATCCACAGCTCACTCGCATTCCACAGCCCACCCAACATCCATCGCACATCCTCTCACTCACACAACAACCACACTTATCACAGCGTAAAGCTCAACACGCTCCCCAACGCCAGCCCACCCACGAGACACATGCCCATAAACCCGCCCGCTGCCTCCCTCTCATCCTCCGCCACCCACTCCCCCGCCGCCATCATGGCGCTCGACCCCAGCCAGCCATTCGTCAGCCCAAACGGGAACTGCACGACGCCCAAATAAAACAAATCACTCTCCACCACTGCGCCCCGCCCATGCAGATTACACAGCAGATACAGCGGCAAGAACCCCCAGCGTGCCAGGCCGACGGCGAACAGCACGCGCGGCCGCGCGCGCAGCCAGGCGAAGGGCGGCAGGACCGCGGACACCCGGCCGGCCAGGTCGCCCAGGTTCCAGAAGAAGAAGCCCAGCGGGATGAAGGCGCCGGGGCTGAACAGGCCGCCGTCGCTGTCGTGGACGGAGAGGATCTTGGCGGTGAAGACGGGGAAGAACATGGCCACGACGAAACACATGGCCACGGCGGCGGCGAGCCAGCGGAGTTTGAGAAGGAGCGTCGTGAGGGGTATGTGGCGGCGGGTTGGGGTGGGTTCTGAGGTGGAGGTAGTTGAGTGGAGCGTGGTGGTGGATGGGGAGAGGTCGGTTCCCGGTGAGGGGGCCAGACTACCACGGCGGCGGGAGAGGAGGCGGCTGTGTCGGTGCACGAGCGGGATGAAGGCTGCGAAGGTTAGGGCGGAAATGAGGACCGCGGTGAGGAAGTAGATGAAGGCGGAGGTGGCGCCTTCGTCGTTTTGTGGTGGGGAGGAGGAACTGGATTCGCTGCTGGGTTGGCCGGGAGGGGGGATCCCGGGGGGCGGGTCGGCGAAGGCGAGGTAGGAGAACATTTGGGTTAGGGGCGGGAGGATGCCGGCGATGCCCTGGCCGACCATGATGGCTTGTGTGTATTCTGGTCGGCCGAAGCTGGCGACGAAGGAGAAGGCGCCGTTCTGCATCAGACCAGCTGCCGATGCGGTGAGGGCGACCATGAGGAGGAGGAAGGCCAGATAGAGCTTCGGAGAGGCGTCGAGAAAAAAAGAGGTGGTGGAGATGGTCAGCATGGCGAACACGGCCACGTTCATGAGGAGGGCTATGTTGATGCGGAGGGGGTAGTTCGCCGAAGATTGGATTCTTGTCAGGACCATCATAGCCACCAAGTTAACGATGGTGGATGTCGAGATGATGGCCGATTGCGAGTTGGCATAGATCCAGGGGTCGGACTGGAAGCGGGTTTGGAAGTAGGGGGCGGCGGCGAGGAACATGTTCCTGTTCAGATAGCATTAGCCGGTGCTAGGTGAATGTGGCCAGAGGGAAACATACCACGCCCATAGCATGGCGACGCCAATCAAGGCGAATATGGAGTATTCGATCCACGAGAACGGTGTCCCTTCCTCGTATATCGACCCCTCCAGCGTCCCCGAGTCATCGTCCGCCAGCGGCTCATACTCCTCAACGTTAGCCTTGGGCGGCGCGAAGAAGGCCTTGATGCGGTCCATAATGCCCTCCGTCCGGAATGTGAAGTGGTGAGCAGTGTCGTCCACCGTGTCCGCGGCGCCGACTGTGAATTTCGTTCCGACCGCTATTCGTCGCGCTTCGTCGCACAAAGGAGGTCCTCCACTACCGTTATCGTGGCTGACTTGGTCGAGGCAAGGCTGGGTGAGGCTGGGCGAGGGCGGGTGGTAACCGCCGGAGGGTCTTCGTCGCCTCGGGTAAGAATGTTGGCTACCTTAACTTCTGACCCTTCATCGCGTGTCGTCAGAAAAACCCAAGCTAGAGCTGGAGAGTGGTCATGTGGAAGGGCGTGGTTGTTGGTCTCAGGTTCGTGGTCACAAGGCGACGGGCAACGCCACGATAAGCGGCTGGCAGGGTTCGGGAACTCGGCCCGGTCTTGGCATCATCAGGCACAACCCGACAGTGCCAGCCCCTAACCCTAACTGCATAGTTAAGGCCTTCCCAGTTCCCCTCAGGTCGTTAACGGATGGATATTAATGAGCAATAGCAATGTCGAGAGCGGACTTGTCTCCTCCAACGGTGGCGATGAAGTCCTTTTCAACAAGGGTCTTTTATGCATTTACAAAATTGCGTGGAGATCGATGGGTCCTCTGGACATAACATGAGCATCCCGACTCAAAGCACTCTTCCAACCCCACGGAGATAGATACATGTCCCACCTAATTTACAAAGGATGTCGAGGGGGTGTTGATGTCCATCCCTCGGCTTCAAAATACCATCGCCATGATACACAGTACATCGCCACAAGCACGGAAAACATCGATAACCACCTCCATTCTCGAGACATAGCTACCCAATCAAACCAACCCGGCCAACTCACCACCCTCGACTGTCTGTACTAACCGATTCGGCTGCCGGCGGCCCATCCTGCGGCCACCCACGTGACGTCCGTCTCATGCGGCGCAAGTATGTCGTGCATTGTTTGTAAAACAAAGGCGAGACGGGAGGCAAGGCCGGCCAGCCGCATGTCACCAAGCGTGGATGGAATACGCGGGTTATGTACTTATGCGCTGGGGGAATTTCAATTCATGGGAATCCAACCCGCACATCGCTGGCTTCGTGATAAGAATTACTGATTAATATATACAGTACACCACCGCTCTCGGCCTCACAAGACCTCTCCCTCCCACTCACACTTCTGCACCTAGTCGTCAAGCGCGAACCGGTCGGTGAACTGTATAATCCGTTAGCATTAACTCTTCACCTTACCGCCGCCAGAGGACAACATCCCAACAACAGCAGCAGCAGCAGCAGCAGAAAATCGGGGGGAAAAAAAGAAAAGAAAAGAGAAAAACTCACTCTGAACCTCGCCAACCCCCCCTCAAGCCCCTTCACCAACGCATCCACCGCCGTCTCACCATACACACCCTCACCATCCACCGGCACGCCCACACTCTTCAGCGCCTCATCCGCCGACCCCAACGCACCAACCGGCTTACCCCAGCGGTACGCATCGATGAGCACCTGCCCCGGCCGACCAGCAGGGAACAGAGGCGAGGGCTTGCTGTCGGCGCCAAACAGCGCCTCGGCGCCCTCGGCCACAACCACGCCATCAAAGCCCGTCGCGTCTGCCGCCGAGTACGTCTGGTCGACGCCCTCCGCCAGCGTCTCGCCCACAACAGTGACGACCAGGCCGTCGGCGGCGAGCGCCTCCTTCAGCTGGGCGGCCTGGGCGAGGGAGTCCTTGGCCTGGGTGGAGGCGAGCACGCCGACGCGCAGGGTCTTGATGGAGGGGAGGGTGCCGTTGGGGGCGAAGGTGGAGACGCCGGCGGTGACGTTGTTGTGGTAGAAGGTGTCGTCGGGGGCGGGGGCCTCGAGCCCGAGGGCCGTCGCCACGCGCACGGCCACGTCGTGGCTGACGCGGTTGAGCTGCGCGATCACGTTCTTCTTGACCTCGGCCGACTTGACGTTGCTCGTCTCGAAGCGGATCGCGTTGATGAGGAATTGCTGCTCGACCGGGCTGAGCGAGTTGTAGAAGAGCCGCGGCTGCGACCAGTGGTCGTCAAAGGTGGGCGAGATCAGGCGCACGAGCTCGCCGCTGATTTTGCGACCGGGGGCGGTGAAGAAGCCACGGCCGACCGTCTGGTTGGCTTGGAGCGGGAAGCCCTTGTTGAGGGTGTTGGGATAGTCTTGGGACGGTTGTTAGATACAAGCGGGGAATGAGTTGGGGGCAGAGGATGGTACTCACAATGAGCGGTGTTCTTGTGGATGAAGGTCTGGCCGGCACCGTCGCGGTTGTTATTGTGGATGGGGGAGTGCGGCATGTTGATGGGCAGCTGCTCAAAGTTGGGGCCGCCGTTCCGGTTCAGCTGGGTGTCGAGGTACGAGAAAAGACGGCCCTGCAGCAGAGGGTCTTCGGTAAAGTCGATGCCGCGCACGATGTGGCCGGGCTGGAACATGACCTGCTCCGTCTCGGCGAAGTAGTTCGTGGGGTTGCGGTCCAGCTTCATCACACCCAGCTTCGTGACGGGCACAAGCTCCTCGGGAAGGATCTTGGTGGGGTCCAACAGGTCGAAGCCGTACGCCAGCACCTTGTCCTCGTCGATAATCTGGACGCCAAGCTCCCACTCGGGGCCATTGCCCGACTCGATGGCATCCCAGAGGTCCTGGCGGTGGAAGTCGGCGTTCTTGCCCGCAACAATCTGTGCCTCCTCCCAAACAAGGCTGGCCTTCCCCTGACGGGACTTCCAGTGCCACTTGACAAGCTTCGACGAGCCGTCCTCCTTTACGAGACGGAACGTGTGTACGCCGAAGCCATCCTAACGATATCAGCCCTACGCTGTTCAAATAACCTGAGGAGACCACTTACCATATGACGGAGACTACGCGGGATTCCATGGCCGGCCATAGCCCAGAATAGGGTGTGCAGAGTGCTTGGCTGCTGGCTGAAAAAGTCCCAAGCAGAGTCGTGGGCGGTGGCCGCTTGGGGGATCTCATTGTCCGGCCTTGGCTTGACGGCGTGGACCAGGTCAGGGAACTGGATGGCATCTTGGATGAAGAAAACAGGAATGTTGTTTCCAACGATATCTAAGTGGGTTAGCAGGTGAGAGCCGCCAAGAACCAAAGAGGCTTACCAAAGTTGCCCTCATCAGTATAGCTAAGTAATGTTAGCCAGGCTCACACTAGCTAGAAAGGCGTAGACTTACAATCGGGTTGCGAACCCGTGAACGTCTCTGGCGAGATCCGCGCTGCCCCTGGATCCTGCAACGGTGGAGAAGCGGACGAACATAGGCGTCTTCTTGTCCGGAGCATTCAGAAATGATGCCGCCGTGAGGTTGCTCCAGTCGGCATAGCTGGTAAACGTGCCGTGAGCTCCAACGCCTCGAGCATGAACCGCCCGTTCGGGAACCTTTGGGAGGGAACCATGTCAGTGTCTTGGCGTGTGATTGTGGATGTCTCAGAAATCTTAAACGCGGAACAATCGCGTGTCGCCCTGTACTTACACGCTCATGATCGAAATGCTGGATCTTCTGGCGGAAGATGAAGTCTTCGAGCAGCGTGGAGCCCCTCGCGCCGGCCTTGAGGCTAGCCTGGTCCTCCATGGGGCCGCCGGCATCAGTGGACATATAACCGCTGCTGTCATCTATCTTGTACTTGGCGAGAGGCTCCAATGCCTCGCCCTCATCCCGCTTTCCCAACTGGGCTGATTCGGCATAGGGGCATGCTGCCTGAGACAGCCCCAACAGACTGCCCCAGGCAAGGAGGGTTGTGACTCTGCCGTGCATGGTTTCTGGTGTCTCGGTAGTCCGATGGGTGGTTCGGAAAGCGGGAAAGGAAATCAACGGGGGGGCGGACAGTAAGGGAAGCTGCTCTTATACTCGGTCAAGCCCCCCAAAGCCATGCAGGCAAATGGGCAAACAGGGTGCGCCCGCCAAGATATATTCCAAGCACGCCAACCGTGACTGGCAGTGGCGATCGACATGGGCCCTCCAACATGGCGTGAGGCAGGCCACAACATTGTGGGTGTGACTGAACAATGTCTCGGGCAGTCAAGCCTGTCAGGGGTCTGCCATGCAGGGCTCCTCCACACACAATGTCAACCAAATCGAACAGGCTAGTGCCACATGACCGAGTTCAGACGATGGATCTTTGGGGAAACGGGGGCCAGAAGCAGTCACGATGCCAATGCCTAATCCGATACTGTCAGCTCGCAGCCACAATCGAACCCGACGCCGGCATCGATATCACCGCTTTGGGCTGTAGGAGTAGACCTATAGTACGTATCGGCCCGTTATGCAACAGACGAGCTTTGGGAACGTGCAACGGTTCGAAAACAAAGACCCAATCGCATCCCCACGTTCGCCGGGAAAACGAACCGCAACTGCACTGTGGCTCCGTCCCCACTTGAAAGTGAACCGATCCCGGTTGTCCGGGCTCTACCTCCGTCATGGTCACGATCGTCGGCGACCTCCCTGGATTATTCAGACGATTATCACCCCACTTGTTTGTAAAGCCGTGGTGGTTGCTGGTCTGTGTCCATTGTGGCGTAGATGCCCCAAGTACCCACAAAGCGTTCTTGTTGATTCCACATGGATCGTCTGCGGGCCATCCACATGGCCAAAGATAGGTGTGCTCGTGCGCCGCACCCTCAGGTTACACCACAGGGCGACAGTCATCGACCAACATACGAATACAAGGTATCGTTTGTCCTATCGAGGGGTCCGTTCATAGCTGCTTTGTATGGTTCGTGTCCCCGGTCAGCACGCTCACCACGGGGGTCGATTGGATGGTGAGCAGGGGTTCTTGGTAATGTGCTGTCCATGAGACGTCCAAGAGTTGATATGACAGGCGCGCAAGAAGCAGATGCAACAATGGAACCAAACAGGCAGATCGGGCCCAAGTGGAGCACGCCGGTCCGGGATCAAGAAGCTCCGGGGACGTTCACATCCACGACCACAAAACAGATATTTTCCATGTTACGTCAGGTTCCCGTCCCGATTTCGGGGTTTCGGGAACGACAGGCCCTAATACCGTAGCCAGAAGGCGTGTTATGCCGCCTAATTGCGATAATGCAACGAACTTGGACAAAATACCGCGGGTCCCGTAGCGATGGACAACAGAACGTCATGTCGTCAAGGGGTTGTACTCGGTATCGGCACGGCATGCGGCGGATAGTGTGTCTAGTTGCAACGCTTTCTGCACCCCTTAATCTGCTGAAATGGCGGGTCCCAGTCCCGGTGTCGATACCGGGGTGCCAACTGCCGCCGTGCCAGCCAGCGTTGCATCGCATCGAGGTTGGAGGTCGAAAGCCGATGTGGAACCTGGTAGAGATGCTGAGAGGTCGAAAGCCATTGTCTAGTCTTCTTGGCGGTATAATTGTTGCGCGCTTCGGGCTCACGGAGCTCCAACTGAGTCAACGAAAAAAAAAATTAGCAGAAAAAATGGGTAGGGTGCGTCTTCTCTGGGTGCCTTTTGGGCACCGCATCCGATGTTCAAATTTTTGGAAGGTGCCCGCCCGCAGACTCCACCGAAAGTGGAAGCTTTGAACTGGATGGGCGGATCTGCGCGGGAGATGCAGGTCGCCGCTCCTTCCATCGCAGGAGAAAGGATCAGCCCAGTTTAGGCAATATACACGGTCTGTACTTCGTGCCGTAGCGAAGGCTTGCGTGTGGCTTTGGGAACCCGAAAGACCAGCGAGGCCAACCGCCTTGCCTATCACTGGCGATGAGCTGATGATCGGTAGGCTGAGGGTCTGGGCTCTGGAACAATCACACACGGTCTCACACAAGAGGAACCCTACATAGGTTCGTCTGACAGGTGCATCCTTTCCACAGACTCGGGCCCAATGGTTCCCAAGCCGAAGGTCAGCATAACCATCTCACAAGGAGGTCGACTGACTGAGACGGGCTAGCTATTTCGAGAGCCAAAACGCCCCCGTGGCTATCAGTGATGCGCTCGCCGCTTCGGGGAGCAAAATAGTCTGCCAGCCTGGCCGAACATCACTTCCATGTATAGCTCACCGCTTCCAGACACGGCCGTCCGCGCGGCCAGTAGGCCAGAGGGCTTGGGCTGTTGGTTTGGGCCATTGATGAAAATGACCTGAGCGAGCAGTTGGTAATCGAAGGCAAGCCAAGTTGACGCAAGCCTTGCCAAGTCGCCGAGAGAACTTGTTTCCGATTATCTCAACCCCATCACCCGCCAAGCTGCATGCAACCCGCCGTCCAGAAGAGAGCTGACCAAACCGCCGACCGCGATTGGGACTGTGATTGTCAATATTCAACTTGGCATGCAGAGCACAAGGCCACAATCACGTCCGAGACTCGACAGTCAATCTGAGTGTTGGGGAGTTGATTGATCCGCGGAAACCCGCCGTTTCTCGCTCGGCGGCTAACTTGGGGTCGCTAATATGTTTTGTTCCTCATCCCCGGCTTGGCGGACCCCGTCCCGGACGCCGTGCCCGAATCTCCACGGAGCGGGTACCCTAACCCTATTGGGACGCGACTCGACTCATCAGGGTGCGCTACGACGTCGTCTCTTCTGGGACTGTGTATGGAGTTTAAAGTCCCGGTCTCGGAGGTCCGAGAGACAAGAGCCGCATCGGGAGATATCGATTGGGGGGATTTTCAACGGCTGGAAGATCCCAAAATGTGACTGACAACAGATCTCAGCAAAAACTTGGAGGAAACACAAGTACCCGGGCTGTTGGTTGGTGGGATTTGGAGAATTGGTAACCAGGAACAGGGCCCTGTGTTAATTATAACACCGTCACATATCCCGCATCTGCATTTTCCAATATCGGAGCCGTTCCGAACCACTCATGGAAGGCTTCTGGGTGATCAACCGGTTACATTGCTTTCGCGCCAGAGCAACATCAACCTGGAGGGAAAATCTGATGATATATCGCTCAACCTTCCTATCTTGCCTCCCGGCTAGGTACCTATGCTATAATTGACAAAATGTGGGGGTATCGATGCATGTACTTCGTACATATCGTAATCTCTCTGCCCTCGCGTAGAGAAACACGACCTCTTTCTCCGGCTGAGCCGCTCAACCGCATCCTTTCTCGGCTCAGGAACCCCAAACCCAAAAGACCATCTCGCTCGCTTCTGGATTTTTCGGCGACTTTCTGACTCTCATCTGGGCCGTCGCATCACGGACAGTGTCGGCACTATGGGACTCGGCCCTCTTCCCACGCCGATATCCTGCTTATGGTCCTCGGACTCTGCCCGCCACCACCTGACGCTTCCACTCACTAAGCCGCCCTCGTAAAGGCTCACCTTCCCTCTTCGTGCCCTCGATGACCCCGTGGTTGGTGGTTCTTCCACATCCTCCCTCCTCGCCCGGTCTGGACGGTGTCTTCATCCCGTAGGTTTTTTTGGTTTCTCATTTGATTCCGGGCAAGTCTTATTTCTATTGGTGACGGTTAGGGGAGAAGGCCGGCTGTTTTGCAGCGCGTCATTCGGGTCTGGTTTGCTGTCAGTGTCCAGCAGCGGACCTGGAACGGTGGTGGGCGATTCCTCGGGTGCTCGGGTGCTGACATGGAAACTTGAGACGGTCATTCGGTTCGGCGACTAAAAAGAGTGTATTTAACAAATGTACTAACTTTAAAATTAGTAGGTATATATTAACGTCATTATAAAAATAAACTTCTTTCTCCCTCCTCCCCCATCACCCCCACTCACAACCCAACCCTACCCCCCACT